TAGATAGCATTTTTTTTGTACTTAATATAAAGATATAGATAGCCCTTATCAAATTTTTTGATAAAAGGAGTTAACTCACTAATTGGTAAATCCGAGATTTCCCCTTATGTGATGATAAATTATTTAGAAATTTAACTATCTCCGGGTTTGGGAAAAGTTTTGAAAATTAATATAGGTTGGACTGGGCTTGGGAAATATTCCTCAAGATTAATATTTGCTTGCACCTGACTTGGGAATATCTTTTACAAATTATTATGGGTCGGGCTAGGAAAAAATTTTCAAAATTATTATGGGTTGAGCTAGGCTTGAGAAATTTTTTTAAAAAATTATAAGGTCTTGGACGCTTGGAAATTTTTTCCAAATATTATGAGCTTGGACCTGGCTTGAAATTTTTTAATGTTAAATGTTAGTCTTATGTAATCAGTAATATATTTACAAAGAATTTTGGTATTGGGTACAAGCTCATTTAAATATATTTTGACTCATATAATAGCTTCCACTCTTAGTCCTAATGGGTTGAACTCAATGACATTGCTTGGACTTGACCTAAATGAAGGGGGGTGGGGTTTAAAAATAATATAAATTGGATATGATTTTTAAATAAAAGGTAACATCTTTCTTAAAAAAAACGAATAAAATTCTCATTCTCCGTCATTTTTGACCGGCTATCTACTAGTTTAAAGTATTTTGCTAAGTTTTTAAATGATTTATTATATTCCTAACTGATATATAGGATGGGACTGAAATTTATTATTAAAATTAATTATATATTTTAACATCTATACTTTTAGAAAATTAAATATTTTATGTCAAAATTGTAAAATATTGTGGTAAAAAAATTAAGAAAATAGCTTAAAATTCAAAAAAAAAAATTTAATTTTTTATTATTTGTTAATAGACAGACCTCTTTTTAATTGATATTTGTGAGAATAAAATCAAAGATAAACATCATAATCCTATCAATTATTTGATTTAAAAAGAATAATTCAAGTCAAAAATTTCCCCCCAAAAATTAATACCTATAAAAAATAATGCTTACCCCTTCAAAAAATATCCACCCCCCCCCCCTCCCCCAAATCTATACCCCCCCCCCAATGTCAATATATTTTGGAGATCCCCTGCCCCTCCTCCGGCCATATAGACACTGGTCACATTGTTATTATGAAAAGGTGCTTATATAAAAAGATTAGGTACAAGTTACATTTTTAAAAACTCTCGTCGATGCAGGCAAGAGCACATAAACAATTTGCATACAGACGGATTGCCTCAAAAAGACAAAAGTCTTATTCCTACAAAACTTAGTATCATTTTAAGATTATTGATAAATCGGACTACATTCAATTCAAACCGAGAGATGGTGAGCCACTCTATGAGAAACAAGCCCTAGAAATATAAAACAACTTATGTCCTTTATGAGTTCAATTGTGAGCATTTTATTCGAAATAGTAAAGCTGCAGCTGCATCATTACAAAGATTAAATGGAATGGAATGTGCCGTTTCTTGTTTAGGATTAAAGACTGTTTTTTTGCATCAATTAGCAGACGGAAAAATGAAACCTATTTCATTTGCGTCCAAACCTTTAGTCAGTGAAAACTTACGCTATTATTGATAATGAGGCTCTAGCGCCTCTAGTTGGAATTAAAATATTTTGTCTATTTATCTATCGAAGGTATGGCCTAATCAGAACTGATCAGAAATCTTTAGAATTTTTTAGTGAGATATAAAGACTATCTAAGATTTTGAGGAATAATTATTTGACTCTTTGGGCGGGAAGATGGCGATTTATGGGTTTATCAACATATATGTTTGGTCATGCACGTACGCAGGAATTTGGTGGGGGGGGGGGGGGGGGGATTAAAATTTTTTTAAATAAAATCATTGTTATTTAAAAATATAAAGCATAAATCTTTTTAGGACTAATAACTATTTCTAATACAGAATTTTAAATTAATGTGAATTATAAAAAATAAATATATAAACCGGCATATAGAAAACTATAAAATAAATGTGAATTGAAATTTTAAACGGATATAACCGGCGGCATATGAAAAACTATAATATAAATGTGAATTATAAAATGTTAAGTAAATATAACCAGCATATAAATCAGAAATCACTATAAAATAAATGACCCAAAATAGAAATTTAAATTTGAGTTGAGCCTTTAAAATTTATATATAAAATTTAAATGTTGGAAATATAAACTATTACACAAGTTTCTTAGGAATAATTATATTTTGTATGTAATAACTTAAAAAGTATTCATGAAAAAATATAATTAAAATATTAATTAGCACATAAAATAATTAAGAGGCATATTATAAATTTATATGTAAAATCCAATCTTCATTGAGATTGGGTTTATTGTTCAATTATCTCATCTGTTCTTGGCGTCAAATGCCTACGAATATTCAAAAGGGCCAAATCATTCAATATATTGTCAGAAGTTGTACTCCTTAGGTATGTTTTTATTCTTCTTAAAGAAGGGAATGTTCTCTCATTAGTTGCAGTACTAATGTGAAGTGTTGCTAATATATATAATTTATTATACATTGGGAAAATAATCTTAAAGATGTTTGAAATGATGCAAAGCATCCATAGCATTTTTTGGGACTATATCAACCATAGTTAATCTTTTATATACTATAGTTGGCATTCAGCTAATAAGGCATCATAAGATACTTTAACATCTTCATGAAAAAAAATCTGATAAATATTTTATTTTTTTTCTATTACTATCTGAAAATTGGTAAGGCTTTTGTGGAAGTAATATCTCCAGACTGCTAGGTGCTGCCTGATGAATTAAAACCCGTTCTATTTGGGTTATAAATGTATCTAAGAGAGGGATAAAGACATTTATTTTATAATACTCTTCTACTGACCCTATATTAATGTTAGGAAGATAAGCTTGCCTCGCTGCAAGCCGAGGGAGCAAATGTTAATCTCATATAGCTCTGCTTTTGACTCAAAAATAACATATAAAATATGAAATTCTTCAATAACATTAGCCCTAATTTCCCTGAGTTCTAATAATATGCTCTCCCCTATTCTCATCGTTTCAATCAAGTCAATGTTATGTCTTTAAAAATACATAATATATATTCTAATAAGAAAAAAAAGTAAGTATTGAAACCAATGATATGCTTGCTTCTGAGGATATATCTCCTTCAGGTGTGATTTTTCAGTAAGAGCATAATAATCAACTCTTCTAACTCTATAAAAGCTGTTTTGATGGCAAAGACTCTATCTCGTTGGAGAAGCTTTTTCAATGTCTTTCTCCTTGTTGGACAAGGAGTTTCAGAAATAATTCTGTTTACATAATCTCCTAATGCTTGAAATTTTACAAGGCCACGAAAATTACCTTCATTATAATTATTATTGAAATTCAAGCTTCCTGAATCCAAATGACCATGTAATTCTGGGCCCTGCAATCCACAATATAGTATAGCCTCAATAGTTAGCTTGATCTCTATTTTCTTTTGCTATTTTAATCCTATTTTTGTCAATATGTGATAAAATAGGAATCATATCCCCACAATTAATTTGAAGAAATAATGGGTTCACCGCGTTTGTGATAAATTTGTTTTATTGTCAAAGATTTATCCAGCATCTTTGTACTTGTTGACTTAACTAACAGGACTCATAACTTGCAATAAGCTCCATTGTCTCGGTAGAGAATTTTAGCCACAACCATCTTGTTGATTAGCTCATTTGAATATTTATTTATTTTTAAAATATATTAACGTTATATCATTTGAATATCTTATATTATTTAAATTGATTGTTTAATATATTCAATTAATTTTGTTTGATATTTTTGTATAAATAGATTGTGATAGAATAAAGAAATTAATTAATAAAATTAAAATTTATATTACAAAAACAAATTTGCTTAACCTTTTACTTAAAATGGTGCCCTGGTTACGGTGGTACGTTTTTTCGTTTTTTCTTTTTAAAAAAAAAAATATATAATAAAAGTTTAAAAAATTAAAATATATTCTTACTTTGAAAATAATTTTCTTTCGATTTCTTTTGTAAAAATAAAAAGTAAAGGAATTACTTATCAAATTCGTCGTTCGATATTGGAGATGATAAAAGGACAAATAAAATTTTTTGACTTTTCTTTTCAATAGTCAAAATTTTATCCAAATTTACAAAATTATAAAAGGTAAAAATAAAATAAAATATATATATATAAATAAAAGAATAATATGATAAAAAAATAGTTTTTCATCAAAATCTTTCAATTTCTACGTTAGGATGTTTTGTTTCAAAGCTTTTAACATACCGCACTGCATAATTATTGATAAGATGTTGAGGGAAATGGGAGGATGCAGTAGATTCTCTTATGTCCGAAATAACAGGACGAATGAAATTCACTTTTACTTTAAAACCCTCCGAGAGATGATTAATACTTATATGTCTCTTAATGGAAAGCCTTACGTTTTTGATGAAAATAAATTCATTTTTATATTTTGTGCAATTACGGAATATTAGAAATTAAATGTTAAATCTTAAATATCTTTGCAAACATTATACGCTTTATATATTTGACATACTACATTTATAGGGTATAGAAAATTTTCCCTATGTTACGTTATTAAATAAAAATTTACGCGATGCTTAACAGACAGTCTATAGAATATTAATAAAAATTTTAATTTTCCTTCATAACTTAAAGGTATGAAATTCTTTGTGACGAGTCAAGTCTTGATATTTATAGATAATTCAAATTAAAACTTAGTGGACTAAATCCTCTTTATAAATTAGAATTAAATTTTTCACAGATAAATTATATTGAAACTTAGTGGACTAAATCCTCTTTACGAATTTGAATTAGAATTTTTATAGATAAACTATATTGAAACTTAGTGGACCACATTCTCTTGATTAAAATTAAAATTTTTTAGACAACTTAAATTTGATTTTAATGGACTACAATGTTTTGCTTTTACGATTTTAAAAATTGAAAGTTTACTTTATTTAAATAAAATTTTATCATGGACGAAAAATTAACTCTTACACACACTCAATATGTTCCCGAATTTCCCAAGTTATCAGGAAAATTATCTGAGACTTATCTTAACTTAATTGAAACATATTTTGAGGGACATATCGAGTCAGACTCATCTAAAGTTAGGGCACTACTATGTAGCTTACCAATTGAGATTGTAGACCAAGTTACGTCGATATGTTCTAAAGCACAGTTAAAAGACTTTAATATTGTTTTTGGTAAATTAAAACTAATAATTCCAAGTGAGGACATGAATGTTAATATAAAAAACTTTAACTTAGCGGTACAGGGTGCCGATGAGTCCTTCCATACTATTTATTTTAGGATTTCAAAACTTCATAAAAAATGCGATTTTGATAACGATACGAGAATGATTGAGAAATTAATTTGTTCTTTAAATGATAATATCAGAAGGAAGTTAAATAAACATAAGCACGAAGGCTTAGATAAGATGATGAAATTAGGAGTTGAGTTAGATGGCAGCAATATTAAGCCGGAGATTAGCGATACAAATTATATAGATAAAAACGAAAATTTTATAAAAAATGATTCTAAAACTTTCAATAGTAAGGGGAATCTTAATAATTTTAGGCCAAGTGATATAAATAGCAGAAACTACCAAAACAGTAATTTCCGAAATAACGAGGGTCACTCTAGAAATTTTAGTAATAATCAATCTTCAAACAACTACAATTCAAACAATTTTGGTAGGAACAACGCTCGGCAAAATTTTAACTATAATTCAAACATTTTTGGTAGGAACAACGCTCGGCAAGATTTTAACTATAATTCAAACAATTACGGTAGGAACAACACTCGGCAAGATTACAATAACAATTCAAACAATTATGGTAGAGGTACTTGGCAAAACAACAACAATTCAAACTATTACGGAAGAAACTCCATGTGGCACAATAACAATAATGCAAACAATTATGATAGAAACAATGCCTGGCAAAACAACAACAATTCAAACTATAACGGAAGAAACTTCAAGTGGCACGATAATAGCAATTCAAACAATTATGATAGAAATAATGCCTGGCATAACAATAATAGAGATGGTGGAAACAATACATGGAAAAACTATAATCTAAGAAAACAAATACAATATCATGATCAGAGCCCAAAGTAATAGCAACAATTGCAATATGAATATTGAAGAGATTGTGGAAAATAAAAATGATGTTACACAAAATAATAATGATAGTGATTTTAATATCACCAATTTAACCGAGCATAAACTCAATGACAATGCATTTATGACTTCCTTAAAAATAAACGATGTTACCGTTACAATGCAAGTCGATACTGGATCTAAATTCACAATTATACCTCATGATATGGCTAAACAAATAGGTATTAAAGATCTTAAAAAGTCCACTCTACAACTCACAGCTTATGATGGAAACTTAATTAAAATTATTGGCGTCACTCAAGTTAAAGTAACCTACGAAGGTATCACCAAACACTTGCAAGCCGTGGTCGTTAAATCTAATAAAAATGCGTTGGGACGTATGTGGATTAATGCCTTTAGTAATATTTTGAACAAATTTATAGCAAACATTGATACCAACTATGAAGATGAAATAAAGAAATTAATAAAAGATTGCGAATCTAAACTGACTAAAAAACCGATCAACAAAGGGAATGTCAAGATATATCTACGTAATGACGCCAAACCGAAAATCATACCACCTAGACGGTTACCTTATTCAAAGATAGACGCTGTTACTAGAGAACTTACGAGATGGATAGGAGATGGAGTCATTGAGCCGGTAACAGATGTCCGATGGGCAAGTCCGATAACCGCTGTCTACAAGGATAATGGGAGCGTTAGGGTTTGCGCCGACTTCAAAAACACTGTCAACCCAGCCCTTGAGGACTTCAGATACCCACTTCCAAGAATAAATGATCTTATCGCTAAGCTCAAGGAAGGGAAGAAGTTCACCAAGATAGATTTCAAGGATGCGTTCCTACAAATTCCCATCGACGAAACCTGCAGAGACATATTAACTATATCTACACACAGGGGGTACTACCGGTTTACCAGACTTCCTTTTGGGTTAAAGACTTCATCTGCGATTTTTCAACAAATTATGGATAAAATTTTCAGTGACATGAAAGATGTCGTATTTTATATTGATGATCTACTAATAACGGGAAGTAGTGACGAAGTTCATTTCAACAACATAAAGAAGGTTTTTGAAAGAATACTATCTCATGGCTTAGTGCCTAATTTTGCAAAAAGCTTATTTTTCAAAAAAAGTCTAAGGTTCTTAGGACACGACATCGACGCCAATGGGATCCACGCCAACCATGACAAGATCGAGGCGATCGTTAAAATGCCGGAACCAAAATCAGCCGCGGAATTGTCAACGTTTCTAGGTATGGCCGGTTTCTACAGAAAATTTTTGAACAACTTCGCTGAAATGATCCTTTATACAAGATTGTCAACAAAAAAAAATGGGAATGGAATTTGGAACACTCCAAAAGTTTTGATGATCTAAAGACATTGATTAGTCTTCCTCCAGCTTTAACGTACTTTAATCCTGAATTACCCATCGGAATTGCGACTGATGCATCTAAAATAGGTTTAGGAGCTGTTTTGTTTCACACCGAAAAAGATGGCAAAGAAAAGCCAATAGCTTTTGCCTCGAGAACGTTAGCAAAGTCCGAGATAAATTATACCAACATTGAGCGTGAAGCTCTGGCCATTATGTTTGCTATCAAGAGATTTCAAGAATACTTGATAGGGACTAAGTTCACTATTGTAACGGATCACAAGCCGCTAATCCATATTTTCACCAAAGGGCTCAAAGATAATAGCACCATGTAATTAAGGTTACAGAAGTGGAGTATAATTTTGGGGGGTTACGACTTTAACATCAGATATAAAGCTGGTAAACAATGTTGTTCCCGATTGCCTCTCAAGACTACCACAAGTAATTGATGATGACGTTATTGTGATATCGCGATTATAAATGACTTTGGCGATATACCTATTAGTTTTGACCGAATACGTGATGAAACGTCCAAAGATTTTGAATTATCTCAAGTTATTAACGATATAAGAAATAATGTGCCTATCCAAAATAAAATTTATGAAAATATTGAATACGAACTAAGTATCATTAAAGATTGTTTGTACAAAAGCGACAAAATAATAATTCCATCAAGTCTGAGAAAGAACATACTGAAGGCGTTACACGAAGGTCATTTGGGAGCAGGTAAAATTAAATCCTTAGCCAAAGATCGTATGTGGTGGTCTGGTATGGTCAACGACATTGATTTGGAAGTTAGAAGTTGCGATGATTGTAATATTTTTCACGACAATCCAAAGAAAATACAAAATCCATGGGTATTGGCGACGAAACCTTTTGAAAGGATTCACGTAGACAATGCGGGTCCATTTTTTACAAAGAATTGGTTGATAATTGTTGATGCTTACAGTAAATTTCCGGTTATAGTTCCGGTAAAGAATATTACGACTGAATTCACGTTAAAAGAAATTCATAAAATTATTTCACTATTTGGTATACCTGACCATTGTTACAAATAATGGTACCAATTTTACTAGCAAAGATTTTGAAAAATTTTACAGCAATTATGGTATAAAACATGTGCTAACGTCGGCCTACCATCAGCAATCTAATGGACAAGCCGAACGCATGGTGAGAACATTTAAAGCTCACATGAAAAGAAATATAAAGATTGACTTAGAAACTGCACTGGACAGATTTTTGTTCAACTATAGAAACACGCCGAATGACACTACGGGAATTACACAGTCCAAGAGAATGTTTAACCGCGACATTAGAATAAAGTGGGATTTATTAAAACCTTTGGAGGATAAAGTTGATGAAGTCAACAAATCGTTACCACGAAATCGAACTTTTAATATAGGAGACTATGTTTGGTATAAGAAACAGGGTGATGATACGTGGTGCAAAGGCAGCATCAAGCTTAAAGAGAGTAACACCATGTTCCAAGTTTATACTGATAAAGGGATAGTAAGAAGGCATCTTGATCAGTTAAGGGAAAGAGAATGTTACTACAGTTTAAAATATTATGAAATTGACCCTAAGAATTCCTCTAAGGGGGGAAGTGTGGACACGAAGAATGAGATTAAGATACCAATTACTAGACCAATAAGAAGTAAAAATAAACCTGATTACTTAAAAGATTACGTGCTTAAAATTTATAAAATTAAACGCTTATAAAATATGAAACGCTAAAAAATGTAAAACGCAAAAAATATAAAACGCTAAAAATATAAAACGCATTAAACGCTAAAGGTATAAAACGCTATGATTAACTTAACACCTAAAAAATAATATAATAATCATTATGATTTATCATTCCTTATTCTGGATTAAAATTTTATTCCTTATTCCATAAATTATCATTCCTTATTACATATTTTATTGTTCCGAAATTCAAAATTTTATTCGTGCATATTATTCATATATATGTGATTTGATCAACTATTCCAAATTACATATTCCGATTTATTCCAAATTCCAATATTCGACTGGATTAATTATGAAATATGATAATAACAATTTTGAGAAATGTGAACAACATACGATAAGGATATCAAGCCAACGATAACGTTCAACGATTTTATCAAACCTACGCGATTGATTCAAGCCTACAAAAAACGTACAAACTCACGCAACTCTAATAAACGATTTTATCAAACCTACGTGATAGAATCAAGCCTACGAGAACATTTGAGACTTATGCGCTAACCAAGATAAAACCAAGTAAAATCGAAACGGGAAAAACTTCTAGGACAACAAGCTCTCGATGACTGCTGAGAAGAAGCTTTGTTCTTTGTAGAAGAGGGGGAATGTTGATTAGCTCATTTGAATATTTATTTATTTTTAAAATATATTAACGTTATATCATTTGAATATCTTATATTATTTAAATTGATTGTTTAATATATTCAATTAATTTTGTTTGATATTTTTGTATAAATAGATTGTGATAGAAAAAAAGAAATTAGTTAATAAAATTAAAATTTATATTACAAAAACAAATTTGCTTAACCTTTTACTTAAAACATCTAGTAAAATAGCTGTTTTGAAATTTTAACTTTCAATTAGCACATAAAGTTTGTGTGAAATGAGGGGTAGAATATAAATCTATTATTAAATAAAATATTAATCTTAGGTATCTTTATTACCTTTTTAAGAAGCTTATGTTTTACTTCTAGGCTAATTATGAAATGTTATAAAATTATTTGTACTTTTTGCTTTTTTGTAAGATGACTAGGATTTTTATCATCATCAGTATGTTTAAAAAATTTCTTAGGTCCATAATTATTATTTGACTAGAAAATAGACAAATATTATGCCAAGAAATACTTGAAATCTAAATTAATTGATAAAATAACTTAGTAAATGAATGTGATAAATAAATGTAATTAAATATATTTAAAACGAAAGAGAATGGATTAATATTATAAAATACAATATAATATAAACAATAATATTTTTGAAAAATTTATCCGGCATCTGCATTTTTTGGCTTTGGGGGGGGGAAGGGATTTGTCCCCCTGACCCCCCCCCCCGCTGCTTACGCCAATGTGTTTGGTTGGAAGTTAAAATGCCTGCACATGCTTTGGAGATCCATAGGATAAATAGAAATGACATTATAGGACTATACATTTTATTAAAATATAACATGACATTCCACAAAAGTTTGACAAGTTTTGATCATTAGAAGGTTCAATAGCTTGATCGTTTTTACAGACAACGAGAAGAGTTTTTTATTGACCATGGTAATATTGAATGGAATGGAAAAATAAAATGTTACTAATCAAAAGTAATGCAATTGTAAGCAAATGAATACTTAAGTATTTATTGGTGGTGACATGATGAATAAGTGTCAATATATTTTTATTATTAGTAAAAATTAATTATTTCGCAAATTTGTAAATTTTGTTCAGTTTCTTAATAAACTTTTCTTTAAAATTATGATAACACTAAATGATTCCTTGGACACCTCTAACCTTGAAGATAACTCTGATTTTAAAAATTTAGGAATTAATCAAGATATAAGGGGAAATTTGTGTTTTCACGAAATTAATCATCATGATCAATTTATAATTGAAAGTAATATTGAATTTTGAAATATTTATAAATTATGATGTATTATTCTCCAATAAAATTTATTTATTAATTAGAATTTAATGTAAGCCAAGCCAATTCTTTTGAATCTCTTGACCATATATCATTAGATCATCAAAAAATATCTTTTAATATTGATTATGCAAAAATTATCAAACAAAACAAGGAAAAATTTGTGGTAATTGTTTTTATTTTAATATAACTAATTCTACATAATTATATCCTTAATCTTATGTCAGCCTATTCTAATATGAATTAAATAGTGCATATTTAAATGATCCAATATATCCATTGTTGTTTTTTAATATAAAATAAATCATGCCAAAATATATTAACTAGATTTTAAATTTTTTTTTGTACTACATGTTTTTTAATTTAAAATTCTCATTAATAAATTATTGTTGGCCCTTAAAAAGGAAACTAAGTTTGAGTTGGTCCAAATGTCAGGTAAAAAAAAAATTTACTAAATGTTATTTTTCTGCAAATATTAATATACAACTAGAAAAATATGCAATATATGAGTTTTATTAGTATATTGACTTTACTAATGAATCAGGATTTCTTACAAAAAGTTTTGCAGGCCATTGGTAGATTTTTTTATAAAAATTATATCTTTAATTTTAAAAACTTGCCTTGCTAAATAAGAGTATCTTAGATACAAGATACTTTTTATGAAAACGTTTATCTATTCTTTTTTGTGCATTAAGCAATAACTATGATTAGGTTAAGAAGGCAATACACATCAGGGTTGGGCAGTATCACAGATGTTTGTATCTAAGATATAAACTATTTTAAAGTATTTGTATCTTAATCAACTTTGTATTTAAAAAGATATAGATACTTTTTAAAAAAATTGTATTGGTTAATTTAAATAGTATTAAAATTTAAAATGATATTATTTTGAAATTTAAATAAAAAATTTAATCAAAATTTAGATATTTTAAGGAAGGTAATGTATGGTATATGATGTTGGTTGTCATATAGCAATTTGCAAACAACACCATATTTTATTTGAATCGTTTTATATCCATCTATTTTAAAATAATGATTGAAGAAGAAGATATAATAATATCTTTGTCAGATGATTCTCCTATAGAAGAATATAATTATAAATTTAAATTAAGTATTTTAAATGGGAAATTTTTTCAAGTAACCCACCCAACATGAACACACCAATACAAATAATAAAATTACTGCAGAAGGAATGTCACAAATATTGCAGAGTTTGACAAAGCAGTTTTATAAAATAATTAGTTACACCATGCTTTACTAGATGGAATACCATGTTTGATCACCTTACTTTATTAAAATTTAAAAGCGAACTTTCAAAATTATATGAAAAATTAGAATTTCCAAAACTAAGAAATGCAATATTTAACAGAATATTCCCACATAATGTCTCCATTGGCTATAGTGATTGACATAATACAAAGCGAAATCAACTGCTATTATGGAGAATCAGCTACAATATTTAATGTTATAAAAAATCACAAATTTAATTCAAACTGCATTTTTACAAACCATTAGCTATTGCAGTAGAAAATTCTATAATAAAAGATTTAAAATATATATGAATTTGATAATAACCTTGAAGGCACATCTTTGGTGACTATTTATCATACTTACTTTAAAAATCGTTGGATTGATGGTGAAAAAGAAAAAAATTAATCATCAGGATTTATTAATACATGAAGCTTTAATTATTTTTTCAACAAAATCTTCAATTGATGAAGATGATGATTATTTTAAAAGTACCACATCCAATTCTAATAATGTGATAAATGGTATTGAATTAGAGAGGTCCTAAATTATACCATCCTCTGCCCTCGTTGAACGATTATTCAACTTTTCTAATATGGTCAATAGACCAAATCGTCAAAGATATACAACATATTATTTGAAAAATTCATAATATTAAAAAATAATCTGATTTATGATTTTGATTTATAGATATTTACTAATTAATTTTTTGTTCTGATATTGTTTTCATTATTATATAATATACAATTTTTAAAAAAATATCTTTATATCGCATTATATAACAATATTTTTAACAATTTATTTTCATATTTTTTATAAATTTATATTATAATTAAAAAAAATAAAACTTGTTACATTTTGATTTTAACTATTTAATGTTTTTTTAAAAAAGTATCATGTATCTTAAGTACAAAATTTATAAAGTATCTGTATCTGAATACAATTTTCTGAAAATTTGCCCAAACCCTGATACACATTTAATTGATATCACTTCTTTCCTGCCAATACAAAGGAATTGTGTATACTCAAACAAAAAGAGTGGAATTGAGAGATGTCCAAATCAAGTAACAGAAGTGCATAGAGAAATATCATGTATTTAGTGGCTCAATAAATGTAGTGTTTTAAAATCCTCATGTTTCATTTTTTATCTCAATTTTATATAAAAATTAATATCCTTAATTTTTTTATGAAAATGCTAAAATTTGGTCAAATATAATTCCCTGAATTATTATTTTATTTTTAAAAATAAACTAGATGTGTTCCCATTATGTTGGGCTATAGATAGGCACTTGTCTTTTTTGAAATATTATAAATTATAATGCACACAAGAATATGATATCTTTATTTTTAAAAAGTTATGGAATTATTATAATGCACACAAAGCATATGATATATTTATTTTTAAAAAGTTATGGAATTATTAGAATACATAAATATATAAGGAAATATATGCTGAATCAATCCTCTTAACAATCGCATTTTCCACTGATTAAGCACCAGCTCTCTTTTTGCAAAATTAAGAAATTTCTCTCCTTTTTTTCTAAATACTGCTATAAAACTTCCGACTTAAATTAATTATATTATCCTATATCTATGTAGGATATTTTATTTTATTTATTTGAATAATATCTTGCAAAAAGAATCCTAGTGTTAAAAAGTATTCTATGAAACCCTAGTACAATATATGGGTGTCTACTTCTATTCTATTGCGCTTTCGTTCTTTTTAGGAGCTATGAAAAAGGGTTAGGTTAGTTCAAATATAAACTCTAAATAAAATGTGTATAAAAATAGTAAAAGAAGGTACGCCCCTCCCCTCCTCTTTATTATAAATTGAATGTTGGCACCAATCTTATAATCGATATGAATATTGGTACGACTTATTCTTAATGTTATATTTTATATAAATTAATAGGTGTATACAATTATACTAAATAGACCAAATTTTCCAGAAATAAAGGGGAGTATTGAGAGGAGATACACCGATTTTTGCTTTTTACATGCTTCATTAAAAAAATCCAATTTTATAACTATAAATGAAATATTTTTACCGCAAAGATTTTTACTGGGGAATTTTCAATATGATGTAAGTTCTCAATATATTTTTTATATTTTTAATTAATGTTGTGAAATGGCTGGATTTAGCCGATTTTAAATTAAGATGCCAATATATTAGGCGCGCCTCCAGATTTTGTTAAGCAAACAAATTATATGCACAGTTTTTTAAATTAAAATGCACAATTTTTTTAATGATTTTACAGTTTTTAAATTTTTTACACTTTTATAAAAATAATTATATACACAGTTTTTAAATTATAATTTTTTAAAATTATTTTCAGTTTTTTAAATTCCCAGTTTTATAAATATTTCCACAGCTTTTTTATTAAATCTGCAGTTTTACTAATTTAATTAGACACCAATCCCACTATATTTGGTAAAATCTAACATATAATTCGCGCAGTCAATAAATTTCTGTTAGTTTTTACCGAACTACGCGAAATCTAACAGATTAAGTTGCTGAGCAGCGCAGCAACTAATAAGTTTCTATTAGCTTTTATCGAATTACGCGGTTCAGGCTAAGGCCTGATACCAAACTCATGGACCTCGTTAGCGGTTAGCTTAGCCCCTTCACAACAAAGATATGAGAGTGTTTATTTTAGACGAGGAGAAATATTTTATTAAACACCAAAACCATCCAACATTCGGTAAAATTTAACAAAAACTGGAAAATAATTTGATTTGAAACCTTAAAAACATGAATTAAAAACTGAACAAATTGATTTAAAACTGTAAAATCAATTATAAAACTGTGAAACTAATAAATTATATCATTTTGTTAATAGATTTCCAAACTTTTCTGCCATCAATGAACAAAATCTCCAGGCATGCCTAATATTTTTGGCTAAAATATTTAGTTAGTTTTAAAAGCCAACCGTTTAACAACACAATTTTTAATTCACTAAAATCTCTAATATTGTAGACAATTTACCATAGAAGTCGTGCTTTTGAAACATACTTGCATCAATTAACAAAAGTGACCGAAATATTTAATTCCCCTGGTTTTATCCATTTTTTTATGGGGCCGGAAAAAGAATTGGCATTACGACTCATCGTGACCTCGGATTATAATAACGCTCTAATAGTACTCAAAAACGTTTTGAATATACAAAGATTAATACAAGGTTTGTAAATAAAAAATATTAAATTTAAAATCGGGAGGAAACATTTTAAAACTTGTAATATAGATGAATAAGAAATTACAAATAGAATTTCATAGATTTTTTTAGCACAAAAACTTTTTTAAAATAATTTTAAAAATATATAATTGAATGTGTTTATGAATTATAGAGCCCTGCATGCGGCCTGTTTTTGTAGGTCCGGCTCTCCGAGAGAATTTTTATATCCACTATGCCGACCTATTAAATTGTTTGCTTGACCCGGTCCGAAAAAATATATTTTTAACAGCTGATTAGGATATATTTTATTTAAAATTTTAGGTTTCCTTTTATATGAATTCTTAGTATTCATCATTTTAAAAAATAAGAATCATTTAAATATAATAATTTTGTTAAGCCCGATTTCGGTCGTATTTTGAGAATGGCCCCTTCAAAATAATATGTAAGCCTGGAGATTTTGATCATAGATGGCAGAAAGGTTTGGACTGTCAAATCTCGAGGCTTGCATAATGAATCGTTTTTTTTAAATCGACATTCAAATCGCTCCATTCTTAAAATGCCGATAATTAAGCGATTTTTTTATAAATATTAATTTAATAAGTAACTTTTCTAACTATTAGAATATTGTTAATATCCTTTATTTCCCTAATTTTTTTTAATATAATATTTCTTATTTTATCTTCATTAAAATTTGTTCTTACCAATATGTTACTCATATGATAATAAATTTATTATCCTCTTTCGATCCTTACAGTGTCAATTTCTTTATGTTTTTTCTCATTCAAATATGGTTAACAAAATGTATCACATAGATAATTTAATACTACAATATAATACCCAGGGATCCAAACCGAAACGAATATCGGTTCTGTTCAGGTTCGGATAAAAATAACGGTTCAGGTTCGGATAAAAATTACGGTTCAGGTTCGGATAAAAATAACTGTTCAGGTTCGGATAAAAATAACGGTTCAGGTTCGGTTCCTAAAAAATAAAAATATAGATTCTGTTCGAACCTCTAAAAGCCGGTTTAAACACTTTTGTATTAACATTCGAATTATGTATAGGGAAGAATGTTTTTATTTATTACATAAAATATTTCTCATCAACTTTCCTATCTTCTTAATGTTAATTTTTATTTTTCTCATCAACTTTCCTATCTTCTTAATGTTAATTTTTATTTTTCCTATCACCTTTCCTATCTTCTTAATGTTAAATAAATCGATGGAGACTATATCTCTCTAATGTTAAATTTTAAGAAAATTTTTTGTATATAACGGGATTCGAACCCATGACAACGTTTTAAAGGCAAGTGTTCTTCCCGCTCAGCCACCTTCTATATTAAATTTTGTAATATTATCTTTCTTATATACGTTATTATTTTGCTGTTATTTTTTATTTTTATTGGCTTATTAATCTTTATTTTTATTGGTTTATTAAGGTCTTATTTCATTGGTTTAAATTTATTTTCTTTCTATTTTATTGGTTTAAATTAAATTTATTTTCTTTGTTTTATTAATTAATAATCAACCATTTTTATTTAATTAACTATCTTTTTTTAATTAACGATTTTTAAGAAGATCACAACCTTTTTTATATTTTTAAGAAGATAAAATTATTTCTTACCCTGTCAAGTAAAATTATTATATAAATAAAATTTAATATTATATATATAGATTATCATGGAAAATATAAACATTTATACAAACCAACAATTTGTTCAAATTCTTTAGTAACAAGTGAAATCCAACTACCTTTTATATTAAAACGTCGTCAATTTCCTAAATCAGTGTCAATTCTTCGATCATGTAGGTTTATATTACCTGTTTTCTAATTCAGTGTCAACCCTTCGATCATGTAGGTTTATATTACTTGTTTTATACCATGGAAAACTTAATGTCGGGTTAAGCAAATGTACCTCTCAAAAAATACTAAAGTTATGATTGTACCTACAAAATATGCTCAAATAATTAACGTAAGTATTTATTAAAATATCAATTAACCATTTTTAAATTTTTAAGAAGATAAAATTATTTCTTTAATTTAAAACATAATTTATATTTATTTATGTTCTTCTCACAATATCTCATGTACATATTTTTATATGAACGGAGTAAATAATAAACTTTTTTAAAAACTAATTTGTCATTTTTAAAAATTTGATTATTTTTTTTTTCTCTGACCATAATTAATTTGAGAATTGATTAATTATTTTTTTAAATAATTGAGATGTCTACATGATCGAAGGTTTGACACTGACTATTATTAATAGTAATAACAAAAGATGGGAGAATAGGAAATTGACGACGTTTTAATTTAAAAGGTTGGATTTTACTTGGTGCTAAATTGGTATTCCAGATATCACATATTAATGGTGAGAGAAAAGTTTTGTTATAACTTTTAATGTTCAATTGGCTAAATATAATTTAAATTTATTTGTTAAATTTAAAATGTAATATGTACTAAGGAGTAGTGAATTTGATTGGCATATTGTGGCATAGTTACATAGTTTAGGTATTTGAGTATTTTAATTCCATGAAATAAATAGGTATATAGAGTCCATTTGACTTTAAATAATAATGTGTGAAATATTATAATTAAAATATTTAGTTTATTTCTAAAGATAAATCTTATACTTGAGAGGGTAAGATTGATGGAAATCATAAATTTTTCCACTATTATATATATTTATTTTTTGATTGGTTAAATAAAATATATCTTTATTTTTTTAGTTGATATTTTAATAATTACTTGGGGTAGTTATTTGAGCATTTTAATTCCAATAAATTTGAAGGTTAATTAAGATACAAAAAAAATTTTCGTGTAATAGTTCATGATTTTTTTATTCCCGTCATTCTTGATGGGTTATCAACTAGTAACAAATAAATATCATTGATTAATTTTAATATGAACAATTACTTAAAATTTTTTTTATTAAGCCGCACAATTAATATATTTTCAAAATTCATCTTGCTCAAATTACATCTATAAGGAGATAATATAAATTTAATTGTTGAAAAACATCTTTCCACACTAACTTAGGTAGCTGGCACTGCCAGTATGATATGTCATTTATAATACTAGTAGATAGCCCGTCAAAAATGACGGAATAAAAATTTTCTTCTTTCTTTTATGCTAGATGTTACCTGTTATTTGAAAATAATATCCAATTTTTATTCTTTTTACCACCTCCCTCCTTCAGGCCAGTTTCAATCCATTAAAACTAAGTGCTATGGTTTTAGTAATAATAAATTTAAAGCATTTACTTGATAATACCAATATTATTTGTTAAATGTTACTGATTACTTATACCTAATATTTAATATTAAAAAAATTCTCAGGCAAAGTCCAAAGCCATATTAATTATGAAAAATTCTTCCAAGCCCAATGAAAGATCATAATATTTTTGGTAGTTGAGAACTGAAAAAAATATTTAAATAATCATAATGAATTTAAAAATACAATCAAAATTCAGATTTTCATGGGCCTTGGTTTTTTGATCAGGTCAAGCCCAGGCCTGCAAAAACATTTGTTTTGGGCCAATGTCTGACCTATAATTAATAATAAAAAAATTCTCAAGCGTCCAGGCTCATAATAATTTTGAAAATTTTTCCCCAAGCCCAGCCCAATATAATTTATAAAAATATTTTTCAAGCCCAGCCCAACCCATAATAATTTTATAAAAAAAATTTCTCAAACCTGGCCAACCGATAGTAATTTTCAAAATTTTTTCCCAAGCCTGGAGATAGGTAAATCTCTAAAAACCATTTAGTCTATTTTAACCCAGCTCACCCCAACCAAGGCCAACCCATTAAGACTAAGAGTGAATAGTATTTTTTTGAATAAAAATATATTTAAATTAGATTTTACCTGAGGGCCATATAAATATTCTGTGTTAAATATTACACCTATGCCTAATATTAAAAAAATTCCTTTTTTCAAACCTGCAAAAGACCATAATAATTTTGATAGTTGAGGACTGAATATATAAAGTCACAATGCATTTAAAAATATAATCAGAATATGAAAGTTACATGGGCCTTGGTTTTTGATCAGGCCTTGCCATGTCTTCAAAAGAAATTTTCAGGCCAATTTCTAGCCCATATTTAAAATTAAAAATTTACAGGAATCTTAGACTAAAGTTACATTTTTATAAATGTAACATAGTTATTTTAATAGTAACTTCTATGGCCATCTTATAACTGTTTTTCGAAATGTTATGTGTGGCCTGTCTACTAACATGTAAATGGCTTTTCTGTTGTACCCACAACATTAGTTATGTCCCTTTAAAGAGATTTACTGAAAATTGGCACAATCTGAAGTTTGTCCTTAAAAAAGCCATTAAATTTATACAAAAAAAATATATTGGGCAACTTAAATTTTTTTTAATGGACCAGGTACTTTGGATTGGGCAATTCACACAAAAACTTAGGCTTACCAGCACAAATTTCTAAATTAAGCCAACTTTATTTAATTATCAACTAATGATTAAATGTTTACATTATTTTTTTAAAAAACTAAAATATTTATTACAATAAATCAAAAAAAAAACATTTAGATCCCAATACTAGCAAACTAATTTATACTATGGCTTTATTGAGCCTGGCATATAGAGCAATCAAAAGCTATCAATTATGTTGGGATACCCTGATATCAAGTTTAAATGCAATTTTATCTGTTCTTTTAAGAGCTCATATCAGATCTAATGTCTACACTCCTAGCAAGGCATCAACTCCATCCTTTGACCTACTCATTAACAATCTACAAACTTTTATCCAGGTATCTTATACAATTGCTATTTCAAAAAACATGGAAAAGTCCAAAGAATACTGTGATGCTCTGAAACTCATTTTTCCCATTTCCAAAATTGCCATTGATATGGCATGGAAACTAGGGAGACAAGAAGATAAAACAGTTTTGCAATCGCTTATAGAAAGATTAGAAAATTTGATAGATTTACCAAAAGGCAATGATATAGATAGCTGGAAAAAAATTAATACAATCAAAAATGATGATAAAAATGTGACCAAAATCATAGAAATAATAAATGAATCTTACCTAACTTAGAATTGTAACAAAAAATCTATATTATAACAATCTCACCCTTTTAGTAAATAAATTTATTTATATAATATTTATATTAAATAGAAATTGCATTTAAAAAATATTTATATTAAATAGAAATTGCATTTAAAAAATAAATATTATATATTTTTTATTTTTCCATATGCGTATATATATTATTTCCAAATTGAAATGATGTAATATAATAATTTTTAAACTATTATGGAACAATAAAAATATAATTGTCTAAACTTTGTTCTAATATTTAGCCAAAAATTATAGAGTTGGATCATCTGCCAAATCACGTTGTCCAAAATATATTGTAATAATGCATATTAGGACATTCAATGGAGATAAAAGGATGTTTTCTTTGCTATCCTATAAAAATTAAACAATATCAAGTGTGCATATGTTTAATGTTTAAAAAAAACTATGTTTTATGATTTAAATTTTATTTAATTATTAAGAGACATAACTACTAAAGCATTACCTTGGATTAAATTTGATCAATATAATATAATCAAGTTTCCAGATGAATTTAACAAGTAAAATAAAAAAAAGTTTACCTTTTAATTTAAATAAAAGACCTCATTTTAAAACTCAAAGAGATTGTGTATATAATATAAAAAAAATAATACTTGGATGAAAATTTTAAATTCATACAAGAAACCTCAGTAAAAATGCCAAGATTTATATCCTCCAAATTTATGGTCGAGATTTTTCTTAGAAATACTAATCATATGAAATATTTTAGACATAAATAAAATATATTTGTACTTTTTTGTAAATAATGAATGTATATTGTTTACACTCTTACTTTAAACCAAGATATTAAACATTTTTGGGGGAAAAGCCTTTCAAATCCCAAAGGTAAAAAAATGGATATATCATAAAGATATAATATAACATATATAATTTACTTGCATCTCTCACTTAAAGATTTACAGATGCTTATTTACTTTTTTATATCCCTACATTTTTCTTTATACCTAAAATATTGGAGCAATCATATTAAACTACAAATAAAGTTAATTGTATTTGTGTGTAGATAGGAATCAAATATATATTTAAGTAGAGCACCATGTTTACCAGTTCTGATCTTATTTTTCTTAACAACTTGACTAATGATCTAAGAGCATGATAAGCATCCCTAGATAGTGGTTTTTCCAATAATGACACCAATGCATATATCCAAGATCCCTAAATTATTTTAAAATAGTTACAAAATATTTAGTGGAATATAATATTTTATAAAAAAATTCAATTAATTTTTCTCATAATTTACACAATATATAAATATACCTTGCTAAAATCAAAACCATCAACTTCTATCCAATTGTTTAAATAACCTAACAATTTTAGAACTAGTGGCTATATTTTTACAATATAATTTAACATAAATAGAAATTACATGTCTAAATGATAAGATTAGGCTTAGATAGGGAGGAGTAGGAGTTATATGCTTCTGTACTTCATTACACTTGTCATTTTCATTTAAAGGCTTGCCAAAACAGAATAGATACCAATCTTGATTTGAATTTTGAGGCTTTGAAATATGTGTAATCATTATATTTTGTATTATAATGATATACCAATATATGTCTTTTATGTTTTTTTAAAAATATTTGTTTAGATTTTAGTTTTCTTATTTTCTAAATTTTTAATAAGTTTTAAATTAATATATTATAAAAACTTCTTTCATTAGGCCAAAATCTTGGATAATGTCATTCTGACTTTCATTAGAAGGAATAAATTGTGGATTTGTAGGATTGTACTCACTCTAAAAAAAATAGTATATAAAAAATTTATAAAGATACCATTAAATTTTGGCAATTATAGGTTATATTTTTTTCAAATTGTGTGGTATCGATGTCTGCTATCATAACTTGTGAACAACTTGATGCCTCATGCCTAATAAATGTTTGACGATAATCTAAGATTTTTAGTAACCTGACACGTCTTAGATATTCTATAGGAGTCGTTGGGGGTTTATGCATATCAATATCTTCATTAAAATCATCTTCAATTATAGGCAAGGCGGGTTCAGTTTCCATTTTGTTTTTGTAATTACAATGATACAGTACAATGTAAACCGATCTAAATATTTTGATTGACGTTTTTTCCACATGTGAGGTTAAGAGAAACGTGTAAACGTTCAAAGTTTCTAACTTATTATTCTTTGGCTATGATAAGGGGCGTCATTAGTCTTTACAATATCAGAGGGCTCAACTAAAAAAAAATTATGGGGGCTTTGCCCCCATATTTTCTATTTTGCTGGCTTTTTTTTGCCCGGTCTTCAGCCGGTTTATATTAATATGTTATACTTTTTTAATTAAAATTTGCAAACTCTGAATAATTAATTCTTAGCAACCTACTTTGACAAAAGGTGATTCATGAAACTAATATAACGTTGTGTTACCGTTTTAGACAATGTTTTATGAATGTATTAATAAGGGAAATTTTTTAGGACTAACCAAATCAATAACTCCGAAGAAGAGAATATAAACGACTAATCCAATTCATAAGGGTATATTGTGGCTAATGCTTCCTCTTAAATGACTTATGGAAGCTAGATAAGTAATCGAGAAAATTATTATGAGATATAAATTTAAAAAAGATTATCTTCCATTTAATGACATATAAACGACTAGACAGTTGACCATTATTGCTCATCTAAATTATGCAATCTAAGCAGCATGAGTAATAATCTTAAATTATATAGCCACGCAATTAATGCTGGTTTTATGTAAGAAAAATTGATAAAATAAAAACACTAAAAATCTTTGGAAGAAATAGTTAATTACACGGTAAGGATGCCATGTTAGAATTGAATCATTTAGTAACTAGATAATAAGGACTAGAGGAATATGATATAAGCAATTAAGATTTTATATATAATTATCGCACCATCTCTAGTTGGTAAAGTGTCTAGGCCGGGGTGGGTAGGAGACAAATGTCTCTTGGCATTTTCAAGGTCTAAGGGGTACATTAATTTTTGAAGAGTAGGTATTAATTCTAAATTTATTTTTTTTTTTTGGGGGGGGGGGGTATTTAATAAATTAGCAAACATCCAAAGTTATTGAAGATTCCTAATTTATATTTCCTAATTAATGATAAATCCCAATGGAATGACCCAAACAACTTTGCAATTGCTTATTAATTATTTGCAGGAATTAGATATGTTATTGTTTTTTTCAGCCTAAAGGAAGTAAATAAAATTCTGTTGTGAGATTATTAAAAGATTCCTTTTGGAATTTTTTAGGGGGGTACAGGTAGATTTTGTAGGAGGGTTTGCCTCCATCAAATTTTATACCATGTAGACGCTAGGTATATTATATCTTAAAATTAGATTAGTTTGTAATTATATCAAAAATTTATCTCAAAACTGGTTTTCAAAGAAGAAAATAATGGCTTTATTAAAACACTTAAAAAAAGAGAATGAAAAAAAGATATCTAATAAGGATTAAATCCAATGTGGGGCGAATAATAAGATGTTTAATATTTAATAATATTTTTTTTTATTGAAAATAAATAGATATCGTTAAAGAATTGAATGTAAATTGTTACTTATATTTATTATCAAAAGCATTGATTTGTAAAGTTTATTAAAATATTAATTGTAGTAAATTATATAACTGTCAAATATATCTGAAAAGTGTCATTTTGCCTAATATTTTATAACCAATTATATATAATAGAGGATTATCAACTATGTGTCTACTTACTTAAAGAAATTTCTTATACTTGCTTGAACGTTGGAAATATTTTTAGAAATAGGCATGGCCATGGTTATTAAATTTGTTAATTTTCAATTAATAAATGACAGTGACGAAGCGTCAAGTTTACTACTAGGGAAGCAATCAAAAATATTTTTATATTTTAGTCAAACTTAAACCATAAAAACATTAAGATTTATAAATTAGTTCGTCTTTGTTTTTGAGTAAATGATCAAGTACTGCATTATAAAAGTTATCGCTAGAATTTAAATTTTTTAATAATTTTTTTCAATCGAAATCAAAGATAGATTCGATAATCGAATTTTGACTCATCCTGTTTTCTGCAATTGATTGATTCTTTTTAAAGATGAAAAACTCCGTTCTGCACTTGCTATTGTTGAAGCCAAAGTTAAGATGAATTTGCATAATTTAAAAAACACTTTAAGACTTTTCATCAAATCGGTGCATATTAAAAATTCAAATATTTCATTAACATTCTTTTTCTTTCTAAATTCATCATCCCGAAACACTACCTTTAATTCGGTTTCCAGCTTGTGTAAGTCGAAAAATTGAGAATAAGTGTCGTTTAAATTTAATAAATATTTTGTTTCATACAATGTGTTATTTAAAGACATATCGAAGAACTACAGCCAGTTGAGATTTATTATTGATATCTGTTGTTTTTTCTAATATTATTGATATAAATTCCGTTTCTTCTAATTCATCTAAAAAATTTTAGTGTAAGACATATGAAATGGAATTTATTAAATCATTTTGAATATCGCTTGATAATCCAATATAAAACTATACTATTTTCTAAATGATATTTCAATAGTAAATTTTCTTCCGCCAGCATATAAAACTCAATATAATTTCCTCTATTTACTGAATTAGAAGATTCATCACCACGGAATGCGAGCTCCTGAATTCCAATAAAACATATAGAGTTGATCAATATTTTCAATATTTCTCTATTTGATTTGACTTTCGAATTACGCTGTTCAATTGATATTTACGCATCGAATCTATCATATTTTCAATACGATTTTGGCCAGATGTTTATAATTGAATCCTGTAAATGAGCGGTTGATTCTTCATGAAGTTTAACTTCCTTTAAAAAATTACTCATAACCGAAAATCCTTTATCATTCCAAACATATTTTTCCTTTGGGAATAATAGGCATGACCAACAATATAGAGAACTATAAAATTCACATCCAGTGAGCCATTCATATTATTTATCGATAGAAAAATTATGGATGCAAGTTTTGCTTAATTTTTTAAGTTTTGTAAAATTGGTTTTGGTCTTCCTTTTTCAATATTCAATTATTTCGCATCAAAATTTCTTGAGCTAAATGATAATGTTAATAAATTTTCAATAATACAATTACAATTATTAAACATTAATTAAGGATTTTAAAAACGAAAAAATTTTTTATTTTAAAAAGGTGAGGAAAAAAATATAAAAAAATTTCTTTCTCTTATTTATTTTAAAAAAAATAAGCATTTTTTTATTTGCTTCCTCAATGCTTATTTTTTAATGGTAAAATTATACAATACCATGGCATAATTTTCTTTTTTATTTATTAAAAAAAATAAGCAGTATTAAATTTTCTTCCCTCTTGTATAATTTTTTTAACGTAGTAAATATAATAGTAAATTTTTTAATGTATTAAATATAATACTAAATTTTTTAACGTAGTAAAAATAATAATATTTCTTAATATAGTAAAAATAAAGTCAGTTTAGTTTATTTAGCATAGTATAAAGATTATAATAAGTTTATTTAAGAATTTTGTATGAAAAATTTCAAGGTAGGCAATGCCCCCCTTGTTTCTATGGACGCTTCGTCACTGATAAATAATTAATTTATTTAATTAGGGTTATAAAATAATTTAAATAATAAAACCTAAGCTTCAACTGTTAATGTTAATGCTAAATTAATATTTAGTCATTATGAGTGATATTAATATTCCACAGTGGCGTCGCTAGGAGGTAGCGCGCAGGTGAGTCCCCTGAAAAATTTAAATAGCCCCCTGAAGTAAAAATTTTTTTTAATGACTTCTTAATACCCCCTTGAACTAAAAATAAATTTTTTTAATTGCTCCCTGAACAATTTCTTTTATAATTCTATTTTTTGAAAAATAATATAAATATATGATGCCCTTTACTCTCAAACCTTCACTCTCAAAAATACAACTTAACAATCCAAACAATCCTTTCTTAATAATTAAATAAATACCAACAGTAAACATTACCAAAGGACAAACACATTGTTTAATTTCATGTTATACCATATTTTATTTATGTTCACATCCAAATAATTATAAAAATTTCATATTCATAAAAATAGTTGAATCTCCTCCATTCTTTGTTCTTCACCAGCTGGCATCTTCTCCTCCCCCATTCTCCCTTCTTTTCCCAAGAAAAAATAATTGTTCATGTCATAAAATGACTGACATTCAGTATATTATATTAAATTTATTTCTTCTTTTTTTCAGGGGCTACAACACGTCCACCCTTCACAAGCCCAGTGTCCCTCTCTCTGTGGTGGTGTTGTATCGAATCACCTCTTTGAATTGTATCGGGACGCCTTGAAGACGTTCAGGGAATTTATCAAATCGTCTTCCCTTATGATGATTTATAATATAATATCTCCAATACATTTCAATATATAATCGCGAAAACACATATTATCAATAATGACATGTACATTGGGGTTTCTGCATTTATAATCTATGGAACATTAATATGGACAATGTAATATCAGCAAAACATAATAATTCATTCATTTTAAGACATTTGGGAAATATGATCTATAATATACATTATTTGGGTATGATTAATGGTAATTAGGAAATAATGATTTTACATATAATACTGTAATGTGAACACATGGTCTATGTGTGAAATGCAATTTCAACACATGTAATTGTCCTTCTGTCATGTAAACAAAATCAAAGCTACATTTTTATAAATATTCCCTAAAATAGATAAATCCATTTTTAGGTATTAAAAATAATTGTGAAAATGCCGAACAAAGATTTTAAATATAATTACAAGACATATGTATATAAATAAATTTAATATTTTATAGGGAGGAAAAATATATAATATGTAGAAAATAGAATATTTTCCACCTAGGAATTACTAAGTATCCTAAGAAAAATATACCATTTCTATCTTACTCTGCCATCACAATTAGCACAAATTCACAAAAATGTAGAAACAAAGTAACAAAAATTGAGAATATAATGGGCTATATAGTATATATGTAAAGAATTTTTAATATACCTTCACAATATAAAATAATTTGAGTCTTTTCTTTAAAAAAAAATGTTCATAAAATAAATAGTAAAATGTGATCTATAAAATTATTACAAAGATAA